GGGGGGGGCAAGCGGCCAGGGCAGGAGGAGCAGCGCCGGCAGAAATCCCACATACGCGAATCTCCGCGAGGAAGGCCAGAGAAGTTCAAAGCAGATCCCCAGACCCCCCTCCTCCTCCCCTCTCTCTCTCTCACACACACACATGGACCTTTGTAGACGGGAAGGCACCGGCGCTCGGCCTGGCGGCCCGGCCAGGCAGGTCCCAAAACTCGAGGGCGCCCTCCATCGGCTGGCCACGCCCGAGCGCTTTGCCTTTCCCTTCGCCGAGCCGTACCCCGGCCAGATGGCCCTCATGCGCGCGATCTATGCCACGGCTGAGGCCGGGGATGTCGGGCTGTTTGAGAGCCCAACCGGCACCGTACGATGACCCTCCGCGCCTTGGTGGCGGCCCTCGTCGGTCGTACTTGGTCAGGGGCGACGCGGGGGCCGGGGCACAATGGGCGCCGGGAACACCCTTCTCCCTCTGGCCTCTCCTTTCCACTCACTCGTTCTGTGTTCCTCTCTCTCTCGCGCGCGCGCGCGCGCGCGCGTGCGCGCGTGCGCGCGCCCTCTGCCGTTTCCTGGCTCCCCTTTGACGCGACGCACCATCCCCAGGGCAAGTCTCTGAGTTTGATTTGCGGCGCCGCAACGTGGCTTTTCGACCGGTTGGAGATGGCCGACCAATTGGCCGAGCAAGATCCCTCCAATGAGCGATCGGACTTGCGGGCACTGGCTGGTCCGTGTATGTGCCCTTTTCCCCTGGCTCCGCCTATCTGCCCTCCCCTGTGGTGCTTCTTGTCGGCCATCCACAACGACCAGCCCATTGACCGCCATCCCTTACAGGCGGCTCGCCCGGGCCGGTCGGCGACACGCCCTCCTGGCTGAGCGGCCAACTGCGCCGGCGGCAGGCCGAGCGCATGCGCGAGCAGTGTGCCCAGCGCCGGCGCACGCGACACCAAGTCGCCCGCCGCGTGGCCGACAGCTGTCGGGCCCTGTCCCGCGAGGGCTCGCGAACATGTCCACCCGCTGACCGGCGTCCGGTCGATCCTGCCTCCGCCACCGAGGCTGATCCCTTTCTCATCGAGGACCCCACTGAGGGCGAGCCTCCCGGCTCAACGGCCCCGGCCAGCCTTCGCGCGGAGCGGCTACTCTTTCCATCTGGCGGGCCTGGGTATGACGCCACTGGGAACGCCCATCCCCGCCCATCCCCCCCTCCCCCCCCCCCCCTTCGGACAGCTGGTGACTAATTCCCAATCTCCCCTCGTGCGGTCTGCTCGCGCCCTCCTCGTGCCTGTGGCCCTTCCCATGTGTTCCTCCGCCCTATCACTCCCGGGGCATTTTAGGGGCCTCTTCTCCGACTCGGAGACCGAGTCCGATGGGGAGGACGATGGGGGCGACTCGCGATCGGGCCTCGGCCACGCGGGCGACCCGCAAATCATCTATGCCTCGAGGACACACTCGCAAATCAGCCAATTTGTGGGCGAGATCGCACGGACATCCTTCGCTTCGGCCCTGCGCGTGGTCACCCTGGCCTCGCGCAAGAGCCTTTGCATCAACCCGGAGGTGAATGTCCCCGGCCGGGCAGCGGCCCAAGTGAATGACCACTGTGCGGACCTGCTTGGCGGCAAGGGGAAGTGCTCCTTCCATGGGGACGCCACGCGCACGCAGCAGGTCGGCGATCTGCTCCAAGCGTCACGGTCGTGTGCCGGCACGGCCCGCAGCCTGGGCCAGCGTCTTGGCGCCTGTCCGTATTTCGGTGCTCGAGCGGCGGCGGCCTCTGCCCACATCGTGTGTGTCCCATACTCGGTCCTGCTGTCGGCTCCAACTCGCCGAGCAGCCGGGCTCCGGCTCCGTGGCCGTCTGGTGCTCATCGATGAGGCGCACAATGTGTGCGACGCCGTGGCCGCGGCGCACTCGGTCACCCTGAGCCTGGGCACCCTCGGCACCTGTCTTGGCCAAGTGTCCCAATACCTGGCCCGGTATATGACACGGCTGGGCCCGGTGTCGGTGGTGCGCGTGCGCGAGCTTCACCACGTCGCACGCATCCTCATCCGCCACCTGCAGGGAAGCGCCTCCGGCCCGGCTTCCCCGGGGGCCGCCGCACAAAGCGAGGCCATTCTCACCAGCCACGACCTCCTGCGCGTCACCGGTCTCGACGCCTTGAACATCCCTCGGCTGCTGGATTTCCTTCGCCAGTCGCGCCTTCCACAGAAGGTACATCCCGCCTTGATGGCCGGCCCCCTTGCCCCTGCCAAACGTGGCTCATGCTGGCAAGTGCCCTTCCAGCGTGCCCCCTTGCCCTCGTCCCTCGCCTCTCACACGCATTTGCACACCCACACACACATACATGCCTTCATACATACATGCATCTCCGCATACGCGCATGCACGAATCGATGGCGGCTGCATGCATCCCCATCCACAGCTCCAAGGCTTCGTCGAAGCAACTGATGGCCCGGAGGTGGCCATTACCGATCGCGGCCCCCCGAAGCAGCGCTCAGCCGCCGCCACATTTCAGGTGGTTTCTTTTTTGGAGTGTCTACTGCACGCTGACGCTTCTGGCCGGATTGTCCTGTCTCGAGCACCAGCCGGTGCGCCTGTCGCGATGATGCGCTCCCTCCTCGGGCTGATGCTCTCTTCGGCGAATCTGCCCTCGTTTTCCTTCCGCCCCCTCTCACACGGACACACAATTGTCCATATGTATCTCACTCTCCTCGTTCTGTCCTTTTCCGCCCCCTCGCCCTTTCCTCTGGCAATGGGCGCGGCCATGGCCACAGACGACAGCCGGACATCCTATCGGTATATCCTGCTTGATGTTGAGGCGAAATTCATGGAATTGGTGGCTGAGGCGCGCTCGGTCATCCTGGTCGGCGGCACTCTTCGACCTGTGCGCTTTTTTCCTGCTTCTCCCGGCTGCCCTCCTCTGCTCGCCGCCCCATCGCCTCACCGAGGCCCGGATGCACTAATCCACCAATCGTCCCCATCTCCTGCCCCCTTTGCCTGGGGAAAAAAAAAGACCGACCTACTCCGGCAGCAGCTCCTCCGGTCACACCCGGCAGATCGCATCCGCGAGCTGGCATGTCCGCACGTTGTGGGACCGGAGGCGCTGCTGGCTCGATCACTTGGCTCGATTGCCCCCGGCTCACCCCTGCGTCTGGTGGCCGATAGTTGGGCGGCCGACCGGGCGCCCACCACCCTGGCCGATGTTGGCCAGGTGGTTGCTGCCGTGGCCCGCGCCGCGCCAGATGGCTTGGTTGTCTTTTTCCCCTCCTTCGCCGCGCTCTTCGCCACGACTGATGCCTGGCGGGCCTCGGCGGGCATTTTCCATCAGCTCCATGCCATCAAGGAGGTATGCCCTGGTGTCGGGTCCCCCCTTTTTTTTTTTTTTCGCCCCTCCTCCCCCTCCTGCGTAGCCCCACTCCCCGGATGTCCCCACTGACACCCGGCAACCGGGCACGCATGTGACACATAGATCTTCATCGAGCCACGCGACTCGGCCCAGCTGGATGGCACCTTGAAGGCATATGCGGCCTCGGTCGCTCGGCACGGCTCAGGTGCAGCCACCCCTGTCGGGACACGCAACGGCGCCATGCTGCTCTGCGTGATGGGCGGCAAATTGAGCGAGGGCATCAACTTCGCCGACCACTTAGGCCGGTTCGTGGCCACCTTCTGCGCTTCTTTTCTTTTTTTTTCTTGCCTGGCACCTATGCTCCATCACCAGGGCCACATTTTCCTTGCCGGGCCTCGGCCTCCCTTCCTAATCCCCTGCTAGAGCGGTCATTGTCCTGGGGCTACCCTACCCGAATAAGCACTCGGTTGAGCTGCGCGAGAAGATGGCTTTCCTCGACTCCTTGAAGCGAGTGCGTCCTTGCATGTGTTGCTTTTCCGCTCCCCCCCCCCTCCCCTTCACCCCTTTGCTGGACTCTGTCCACAAGGCCCCGTGCCCTGACCTCCCAAGTCATGCTTTGTGTAGGGCCGGTTGTCGGAGCTTTTCTACGAGGATCTGTGCATGAGGTCGGTGGCCCAGTCGATTGGTCGGGTTCTGCGCCACCAAAACGACTATGCGGCCATTGTCCTGGTCGATGTGCGGTACAACTCCCCACGCGTACTGTCCCGGATCCCACAGTGGGTGGTGGAGCTGGGCCAATTGCGGCACCTTGGTGGCGGGGCGTCGTCAGCCGAGACCCCCTCTGGGCCGGAGCCCCTCCGCGCTTTGACTGCAGCTATCACCGAGGTACGCGCGGACATCCCACCCCGAGGCCATTCCTCAGCCGCTCTCGCTTTGTCCCTTGTCCTTGTGCACACACACGCACAGGGAGAGAGAGAGAGAGAGACACGCACACACACACACACACACACACACCTATCCTCCGCCCCTGACAACTCTGCCCGGTGCGCCTTCGTTTGATCACAAAACACCCTGGGAATATGTTTGGATTTGGGCGGAAATAATCCTCTGCTGGTGTGCATCTCGATCGGCCACAACCGGCTGACTGGGCACAGTTTTTCGACCGGAGAGAGCACACCGCGAAGCGAGACTTGGGTAGGCCCAACGACCAGGGCCAGCCCAAGCGACTTCGGCACGACTAGAACAGCCAATGACACAGCCACACAATGCAATGCAATGCAATGCAATGCAATGGACTCTCGGTCACCCGACAGACATCGGTATCTAGCTCTGGTTCTGGGCCGAGAGGAGCTGCTCCTCGACGGCGGCCTTCTGGTCCTTACGGCGATTGCGCTCCTCGTAGCTACGTGGCGGCAAGTCAATACACGGAAGGCATGGGCGCAGGAAGCATGGGAAAGAGGGATGGCAGAGATCTAGCCAGGAAAGACGCACACGCTGCGGCGGTTGATGATCCGGCGGATGACATCCTCCGAGGTGACAGCCGACAATTCGACATCAATGGCGTCCTTGCCAGCCGGCGCAAGCACACGCTGGAAGATGCCACGCTCGCGAGCCGTCTGCGGAAAGGGGACAAACAGGGCGAGTGAGCAAGCGGGAAGCGGACCCCAGGAGGCAAGGAGGGAGCGGGGCGACACAAGGGGAGGACAGAGAGAAGGAGAAGAAGGAAACCAGACAAGGGACAGGCACGCACGGCATACGGATCGGAGCCATCAACATCGGGGATGGTGTCGGTCTGGCCATGGGCAACGACCGCCACACCGCCGACGTCCTTGAAGTGCTCGAGGACCACATCGTCCACACTGTATGGGGCCCCGATGATGACCTCATCAACGAAGCGGCAGCTCAGAACACCGAGCGTGCGCTCATACAGGTTCATGATGGGCATGTTGTTGCCCTTAATGCGATTGACAGTCTGCTCGCGGCCGGCACACCAGGCCAGGCAAGTGGAGGACGGACGCAGGGGAGGGGGGGCGAGGAGAAATGAGCACATGTCAGAGGGTGAGGGGAGGAGGAGGAGGAGGAGGAGGAGAAGGAGGAGGCAGTCAAGAGGCGGGCATACCTGGTCATCCTGCACCGCGACAACCAGGTAGTCACCGAGAGCACGCGCGCGCTCAAGGAAACGGATGTGCCCGACATGGAACAGGTCAAAGGCACCGGACACCAGGACAATGCGGGCACCAGGCGCGGGGCCGCCCTCCGGGAAAAGAGGCGAAATGGTCTTGGACTTGGGGCGGTAGTGGCTGACGCGCGTGGCAGGGATGCCGCAAGAGGCCTGCATGCACACAGAACAAACGCGGACGCGGACGCAGATGCCCGGGCAGTAGGGAGAGTCAGGAGGGAGAGCAGGGGGGAAAATGGAGAGGAAGGGACACGAAAGGGACCATGCACATCAAGGAGAGTCAGCAAAGGACCAGGCGCAAGGAGCGAGAGCCACAATTGGCCAGCACATGACGTACAGCCGCAAAGTCCTGCAGCTGCGTGGCAGCCAGAGAGGACATGCCAAGGATGGACTCCTGGTCATCATCCACCGGCTTGGTGAAATGCTCCCGAGTGCAGAGAAGCATGCGGCCAACCAGGTCAGTGGTAGACACGCCCTCGGTGCGCTTGAACTCACTGGGCATGAGCGGGGGGGGGGGGAGGGGCCAAGTCAGTTAGCCCTGGGCCCGGCGCGCCAATCGGACACCGCCATGCGGACATGGGTGGGAAAGCAGCGGAGAAAGGCATGAGGCCCCCTGCGGCAGGGGGGCACTTACGCACATGTATTTGCCGGCCTCCTTGACGCGCCAGTAGGTGTCGCGTCCATCGGCGCTGCTGGTGATATCATCACCGTGGGCCACCCAATCGGCGCCCTCGGCCTCAACGACCTCCAGCTCGGTGACATACGGCGACGCCTCGACCACGCGGTCGACCCACTTGCAGCCGCGCACCGCTTCATAGCGCTCGCGCTCCTGCATCACGGTCGGGCCCTTGTGGTGGGCGATGTCCTCGTCGGAGTGCACACCGACGATGAGCTGCGTGCCGAGAGCGCGCGCCTGGCGCATGGCATTCGCATGGCCGAAGTGCATCATGTCGAAGCATCCATCGACCCAGATGCTAGGGCGGCAGGGAAACAGGGGTAAGAGGGGGAACTAGGGTGACAAGAGGACAGCCGTGGCACATACACAGAGCCCTTGGTGGGGGCGGTGGAGGCGGAGGCGGCCGCGGGCATGGTGGAAAGGAAGGAGTGAAGGGGGGGGGGGAGGACAAGAGCAAAGACGGGGCAAACGGAATGGGCGAGAGGGGGAGGTGGCGGAGTCCGTTGCATCCTCCCTTCTCCGGGCCTGTGCCCTGTGCCGCCGACGGAAATAAGGACCGCTGCGATCCCGGATGATGCCGGCTCGGGGGGTGGGGGGGGGGGAGGGGTGCTCCATGCATGCCAATACCGGTGCATCCAAGATTTACACGCAATTGGGGCATGCACGCCAGCTGACCCCACACAAACACTGCCCAGCGGAGCTCTTGACTAACCGATTCCCCAG